TTTATTTTTATTTATTTATTTTGAGTAGGAGTCTCACTCTGTCACCCAGGCTGGAGTGCAGTGATATGCTCATGGTCACTGCAGCCTCAACCTGCTGGGCTCAGGTGATCCTTCCACCTCAGCCTTCCAAGTAGCTGGAACCATAAGCATGCACCACTACGCTTGGTAACTTTTCTTGATTTATTGTAGAGGTGAAGTCTCATCAAGTTGCCCAGGCTGGTCTTGAACTCCTGGGCTCAGGCAATTCTCTCACCTCCACCTCCCAAAAGTGCTGGGATTACAGGCATGAGCCTTTGCACCCAGCAACTATGTTGCTTTTAAAAGCATATATGAGGTCTAACAATTAAGTTCATGAACTTGCCACCGTCTGCTTACATTGGCAGCGTTGTACAAACAACTCAGTAAGGTTTCACAACCTTGGTATATCAGTTTCTCACAGCTGTGTGTGTTGATATGTGGCAGCATCTTGCTGAGCGGCACTCATTATTGTTGCATGGCTTTGTGTGCCATTGTGAGAATGTCAGAGTTAAAATTAGTGCAGCAAATATTAAACTTCTTGTTAAACTTGACAGGAGTATAAGTAAAATCAGGAATATGTTAGTCCAAGTTTATGGGGATAATGCCATGAAGAAAATGGTAGTGTACAAAGGGATTAAATGTTTTTCTTTTTTTCTTTTTTGAGTTGGCGTCTCACTCAGTCGCCCAGACTGGAGTGCAGTGGTGGCTCCCGGCCACCGCCGCCTCGACCGGCTGGGATCCGGCGATCCTTCCGCCTCAGCCTTCCAAGCAGCTGGAACTACAGGCACGCGCTACCATGCCCGGCTAATTTTTTTTTTTGATTTATTGTAGAGATGAGGTCTTGCCAAGTTGCCCAGGTGAGTCTCGAACCTGCAGTCTCAGGTATTTCACTCACCTCGGCCTCCCAAGGTGCGGGATTACAGGCTGAGCCACCGAGCCCAGCTAAATGTTTTTCTGAAAGGAGAGAAAGTGTCACTGATGAAGAGAGGTCAGGACAGCCAGCAACAAGCAGAACTGATGAAAACATTGCAAAAATTCATCGAATTGTATGTCAAAATTGTCAGTTGACTATGAGCAGCACAGCAGACCAAATAAACATCAATAGAGAAACAGGAAAATCTTTACTGAAGATCTTGGCATGAGAGAGGTGTGTGCAAAAATGGTCCTGAAGGAGCTCTTGCATCACGACAATGCACCCGCTCACACAGCACTGTCTGTGAGGGAGTTTTTAGTCAGTAAACAAATAACTGTATTGAAACACCCTCCCTGCTCGCCTCATCTGGCCCCCAATGACTTTTTTGTTCACCTGAAGATAAAGGAAATATTGAAAGGAAGACATTTTGATGACATTCAGGACATCAAGGGTAATGACAGTTTTGATGTCCATTCCAGAAAAAGTTACAAAATTGCTTTGACGGGTAGACTAGGTGCTGGTGTCAGTACACAGCTTCCCAAGGGGAGTGTTTCGAAAGTGACCATTGTGATATTCAGCACTAAGGTACACAGCACTTTTCCAGGATGAGTTTGCGAACTCTGTCAGACCGCATATTCGTTGAAAGATATATGTATATGTTTTTGAGTTGGAGTCTCACTCTGTCGTCCAGACTGGAGTGCACTGGCCGCTCCCGGCCACCGCAGCCTTGATCTGCTGGGCTCCGGCGATCCTTCCGCCTCAGCCTTCCAAGTAGCCGGAATTACAGGCATGCGCTACCACGCCCGGCTGATTTTTTGATTTATTGTAGAGATGAGGTCTCGCTGCCCAGGCGGGTCTCGAACCCGCGGGCTCAGGCAATCCACTCACCTCAGCCTCCCAAAGGCGCGGGATTACAGGCTGAGCCACCGAGCCCGGCCATTGAAAGATATTTAATAGATTTTACATGTGTACAATTAACCTAAGCATATCAGCTCTCCCTTTTCTGATGTCAGACTTGTTTTAATATTAAGTTTTATGACAAAAACTCTCATAATAGTTTTAAAGTTTGGAGAATTTTTAGACAAACCTATTCATTCCTATTGCCCTTATTTTTATGTAGTAAACAGCAAATCCTTGTGCTATCTGATGGTAACTTTAGAAAACCCAAAGATAGCTGAAGCATAACAGGCATCAATAATTTTATTATTTCGGAGTTGGGTTTGATGCTGGGAAAGGCAGTATCAAGAATAATTTTTATAGAAGACAATATAAGTGATAAGTATTTAAAAATAGAAAATAATTTGGCTGAGCATGGTGGCTCATGCTTGTAATCCCAGCACTTTGGGAGACTGAGGCGAGAGGATTGCTTGCTCTCAGGTGTGCCTCTAAAAATAAATTAATTAAAAAATAAAAATAGGGGCTAATTTATGACAGAAAGTAGTGTGTGGGTAAAAGTTACTTAGTGTACCAAAATTCCATTTTTGTTTTTATTTTATATTATTCATGCACACGTTGTAGTAAATTGTTAATATACCTTTATAAGTATGTGTTTAGGCACGTGCATATATTTAATAAATTTAAAGCTTACATCTACAGCTTTAAAATAGAATCAATTTGCCAGTCAATTAAATAAAAAATACATGATCATACCTCTGCACTCCAGTCTGAGTGACAGTGAAAACCAGCTCTAAAAAAATTAAAAATGAAAAAAAAATTTTTAAATGTACATATGTGAAATTTACCATCCAAATAAGCAATTTTGTTAATAAAAAATCATATCATAATGTTATACTAGTTACATATTTATATGATTGTAACTAGTAATTTATTGATATACCTTTATAAGTATGTGTTTAGGCATGTACATATATTTAATAAACTTAAAGCTTACATCTATAGCTTTAAAACATAATCAATTTGTCAGTCAATTAAATAAAAAAATATACGATCATGCCACTGCACTCCAGCCTGGGTGACAGTGAGGCCCAGTCTCTAAAAAAATCAAAAGTTAAAAAAAAATTTCAAATATACATATGCTAAATTTGCCACCCAAATAAGCAATTTTATTAATAAAAAGTCATATCATAATGTTATACTAGTTACACATTTGTATATGATTGTAACTAATATAACTAACTATATTTAATCTTTAAAGTGACCAACAAATTTTCTTTTTTCCAGTCAACAAAGAAAACTAGAGAACAGAAAATGAAGAATTGTTTAGGTATTTTTTTCTCCATGAGCACTTACTTATTTCACATCATTTTGACAATTTTGAGGAGGCAAAAATAAATAATATCCAAAGGCATTTTCATAGTTTGCTCATTGATTGGCAGTCTAAGAAATAAGGGTAAAAGTTTTTTTAGTGACTAGTGTTTTGTATCCGATTGCTGTTTAGAAATTTCCGTCTTCTAAAGATTCTTTATTAACTTATTTACCCAAGTTCTTGAAGTTAATTGAGAAAGAAAATGTTTAGATGTAGAAAGACAGATAAATACACATAAATATATACACATAAAGAGTGACAAATGGTTTACACAGTGACTTGAACTGTTGATCATTTTATCAAGCTATGTGATCAAACATATTCAGCGCTACATAAATTTCTTCTTCACTTTTTGTTAATGTACTTTCCAAATAAACAATTTTGCTCAAGTCAAAAGCTCCCTAAAATGGTCCATGCAATCCCAAATTGTCCTTGGTGAAACTGTGCCAGTTAGAGTGATAAGCACACTAGTAGTGTAACAAACACACTAGTTAGTATTGTAATAGGTGCTTGGCCTGAAGAAGTGCAGTTTTTATTGAGGAGACCCTCAGAATTGCAATGGTTCTTAAGGATAGTGTTTTGGGTAACTTTGTGTCTCCTGAGCTTGGCCAAAGGCCAGTTAGAGGCCAGACAAAACCTCCTGAAACAAGTCAGATAAAACTAAACAAAGCAATCCTCAGTGACAAAGTCAAGACAGAAGAATAAATCCTTACAAGGTTTTGCAATGATGATGTGAGGCCAAGGAGTACTAATCTGAAGAACCCTTCTAAACAACACAGCCACTGTGATAAGTTCCATGAACAACTTATCAGGTTTGGCTGGTAGACTTTAAGGAGGCTTCCATGTCTCTTACTCTTGGTAGTCACACCTTTGTGAAATTCCCCTCTTCCTTGAGTATAGGCAGGACCTGTGACTAACCAAAAGCAAGCAAAAGTGATAGGATATACCTGATTGCATTTACATGATTACCTGAGAGTGTAGTGCCCATCTTGCTCATCTCTTTCCAATGGTAGTTTTGTCATTAATTAAAGATGGGATTTTGCTCTGTTGCCCAAGCTGGAGTATAGTGGCATGATCTCAGCTCACTGCAACCTCAAACTTCTGGGCTCAAGCAATTCTCCTGCCTCAGTCTCCTGAGTAGGGAGAAGGTGTACACCATCACACCCAGCTAATTTTTAGCATTATTTTTGTAGAGACAGGGCCTCATTATGTTGCCCAGACTGGTCTTAAATTCCTGGCCTCAAGTGATCCTCCAGCCTCAGCCTCCCAAAGTGCTGGGATTATAGACATGAGTCGCCCTGCCTGGACTCCGAGCAACTTGCCGTGACCCCTACAACCACAGGGAAATGAATTTTGCCAACAACCTGAGAGACCTTGGAAGCAGATCCCTTCCTGGTCAAGGCTCTGATGAGAACCTGGTTGTGGCAGGCACTTTTTTGCAGCCTTGTGAGACCCTAAGCAGACTACCCAGCTAAGCCATGCTCAGACTGCTGACCCACAGAAACTGTGAGATAATAAGCATGTGTTGTTTTAAGCAGCTAAGTTTGTGGTGATTTGTTCTACAGCAATAGAAAATTAATGCACTGGCCTATGCCCATATTCTCCTGAAATATTTTTTCTCTTCTGGACAATTACAGTTCTAAATATTCAACTTAACACTTAGATCCCTTCCTCTAGCTCTGGGTTTTTGAGTTTAAAAAGACTTACTCAAACTTTCTCACTCCTTGGGTAAAAATTAACCAACATATTTCCCTCTGATTTATACAACACTAATATTAACACAGTAAAAGAAGATGACACTAATTAGCAGGGGCTGCTTTTATTTACAAACCCATGCAGGAAAGGACAGCTTATGCTGTTACATGCCAGTTTCTCTCCAAGTAGACTGGGCTCTTAGAAGTTAGTGTTCTTCGGCTTTGTACCCCTGAGAGGCCTTACACACACACAATTCAATAACTGTTGAATGGAAATTGCCTTTAAGCTTATTAACTAATGGGATCTGGTTTCATTTCGGGTGGCACTTCTGTTTTAATGCAATGCTCAAAAATATCAACACCTATGATAGGACAATACTGGGACAACAAACAATGAGCATGCCAATGTCATTGTTACCAAGCCAGACTTCACAAGAGACAAGGGAAAATAAAGGGTAACTAGAATGCAGAAGTTCATCATCACTATCTTCAATTAGGAGCCTCAGGACTTCCCGCTATGGAACCTTACCTAAAATTCTTACTTTTCCCCACCCTGCCAGGTTTTCTGAAATAAAAGATGGGAAATAAGATAATGCACCCTGAGATTTCTCTCTCCTTTTTTCCTTTTAAATAGTAACCTCAACTTTTAGAGGTTCAGCAGGATTCAAAGAACAATTTTGAAGCTGAAAACAAAATGACAGTCTGTTTTCGAATAAATCTTAAGATGTTTTCATGTCATAACCTTGTTCCTTGAGGAAAAAATTTACACACAACTGAATATGTTTTGTCTAGGCAGAGTGCAATAATAAAGATTAGGCCAAGTTAGATATCTAATTAGAAAATAAATATTGGTTTTGGTATTAAATTTAGGGCTAAAATAAACCCATGTCAACAAATGTGCATGTAGATGCAAAAGCACAAGGCAGATAAGCTAGCTGTGCCCAATGTTTCACAACTGGCTGAATCTCTGTTCTCTAGCAGAACAGACTGTATGTAAGCTTCTGAAGGGCAGGAACCATGCTTTGGTGTTTTGCATTTCTCCAACATGACAGCACAGAGCCACTCACAGAACTTGTTAACTTCAATACAACAATTTTTATAAAACAGTTAATGATAATTGCTAGGCAGCGGTGGACCTGAACACAGATGTTCAAACAATGCCATTCTTTCCCATTTTGAAATCAAACTATTAGAGGGAAAGGGGAGAGAATTAAACCAAATTAAACGAAAACCCCCAAGTCTATAGTAAGGAAGAATCATAGCAGGTTTAGTCAGTGAAAGGGACTGGTATTTAACACATATTTGAATGAAAACACTTTGTCACCATTTTTTAACAGAAAATGATCTGCACTTTTAAATTTGAAGCTGCTCTGGCATTAGGATTTAATTGCTTTCTGCTCCACAGGTTTCAGATGCCACTGCACTACCAACTCCCCAGTGCTCTTAAGGCATGTGTTAGACATGTCCTCTTCTGTTGGAAGTCCTTGTGGCAACTTCAGGGGTTTGATTCTGTGACACAAGAAAATGTATTTAGATAGAAGCAGTAAGTTGTAGTGCTACCCCCATAGGATGACCATAGTTAACAATAATATACAGTTTTAAACAGCTAGAAGGAGGATACTGAATGTTTCCAACACAAAGAAATGATAAATGTTTGAGCTGATGGATATGTTAATTACCCTGATCCAATCACTATACACTGTATGTATTGAAACATCACTAAGTACTTCATAGATGTGTACAATTACTATGTGTCAAGTGAAATAATAAAAGTTTTTAAAAAGTTTTTCCAGAACATTAAAAACAAAAGAAAGAAAAATGAATTTAGAACTACACCACGTAGCACATTTTTGAAACTGCTGAGATAACCAAACAACGAACCTTATCAAATGTTTAACCACTTTCAGTTTTGCGTTCACTGAAGGGATATTCTTGTGAACTTGAGGGGTATGTGCCTATGAACAAAAGAAATAATGTTATGGATCAATTTGAAAAGCAGATCTTTCCATGTTTCAATAAAATGTTAAATTGAAGACTCAGTGTAAATTAAGTAAGTTACACTAAGTAATACATTTAAACACAAGAAATAATAAATATATACCTTAAAGTTTTAAAATTATAAAATTTAAAACAAATTCAAACAACACTAAAGATGACTAAAATAGCTGTATACCTTTTGTAATCCAAGCATCTTTATTATATCTTTTTCCCAATATGGACGTCTTTTTGTGCCTTTTATTCTGGTAACAATATGCAGTTTATGAGGGTTTTGTGGATCCCCACCATATTTTTCATGATCGGCAGGTGAAGGCTGAAATACCTAGTAAGGAAGAATTATAAACGGTAAATTTTCAGCTTACACACAGTATCTATGTACCTCTCATTTTTTTCTTAAAAAACAAACACATGCACCCACATAAACAACGACATAATTATCTCACCCTTAATCATTACATAATCCTCAACCTTAAATTGAACATTTCTACCAGTCTGATTACTCAGACAGACAGTCTAAGAACTTTAAACTCTAACAAAAACATTGCACAAGCAAATATGTTTTTGTTTTTAAAAAATTTTTTAACCTGCAGAACAGTATAAGAGCAACCAGATGACAATAAAGAACTCAAATGCCAGGAGAATAAATTAGTACTCTATGAACTGGGCAAAGGTTTGTGTCTCTCAGTTTAATTTCAGAAGATTAGGAGCTGACTGTCAAATGAGGAAATAAACATGTAAGTTAAAAGTGACAAAACATGAGTATCATAAAAAGTACATACAAAACACTAAAAGAATATAGACAAATAACTAACAAACTCTGCCTATGAGGGATCAGACACAGCTCCACAGAACTAACATGTGAACTGTTTATTTAAAAATCAAAAGGTTCTTGGCAGCTATCCTACAGAAAAACTCTCCTAAGTAAATAAAACGTATGGAAAAAGGTTGTGTATTATAACACTACTTCTAATGCTGAAAAATTTAAAGGCAAAAATCTATGTTCTTCAACAGAATCAATAAATTATGGCAGGCCCATTCTAAATAAAACTAATAATAAAAAACTAAATAAAATATGATGTAAATATATAAATTCTGATGTATCCTAAGTTATACAATGCTGCCATTAAAATGAATGAAGTTACTACCTTTGTAGGTGCTAACAATGAATGATGACCATAATATATGGCTCACAATAATGGGTCAAACAAAACAAATTTCCACACCATTATGTGTAGCAGGCTCTTGCATTTGTATCATCTGTACCAAATACATGGATGTGTATATATGATATATTCTATAATACCGTTTCTAGGAATCATATATAATCAAAGACGTTAGGTCAAGAATCATACCTCTGGGAAATCACACTGAGGAAGAATAGGTAAAAAAAAAGATGGTACTTTAATTTTAAAAGAATATTATTCAGTTAAAAATAGTATTATAAAAACACATCCAGTGAGTGGTTTGCATTATATTGCTAAACAAAGAAGAGAGGAGCTAGAGAAGCATTATATATGAGATGATCTACATCTTTATTTTATTTTATTTTAACTTTTATTTTTTTTGAGTTGAAGTCTCACTCCATCGCCCAGGCTGGAGTGCAGTGGCACACTCACAGCATTGACCTGCTGGGCTCTGGCAATCCTTCTGCCTCAGCCTTCCAAGCAGCCGGAACAATAGGCACATGCTACCATGCCCGGCTAATTTTTTATTTATTGTAGAGACGAAGTCTCACCAAGTTGTCTGGACTGGTCTAGAACCCGCGGGCTCAGGCAATCCATTCGCCTCGGCCTCCCAAAGTGCTGGGATTACAGGCTGAGTCACCAAACCTGGCCTGTGTTATTTTTTGAATTGGAGTCTCACTCTGTTGCCCAGGCTAGAGTGCAGTGGCACAATCGTGGCTCACTGCAGCCTCGACCTCCTGGGCTCAGGCAATCCTAACCACCTCAGCCTCCCGAGCAGCTGAGACTACAGGCATGCATCACCAAATCCAGCTAATTTTTTGAATTTCTGTGGAAATGAGGTCTTTCTATGCTGCCCAGGCTGGCCTTGAACTCATAGGCTCAAGGGATCCTCCTGCCTCAGCCTTCCAAAGTGCTAGGACTATAGGTGTGAGCCACCATGCCTGGTCACATCTTTAAAACATACAACAAAGAAGATGGAAGGAGTTGACAGCAGTTGTCTCTGGGTGGGTGGGATTAAGGGTATTTTTCAGTTCTTTTTGTTTCTTTGTATTTTCCTAGAGATTTTGAAGAGATTAGACTGAGAAGAATGATGGATCAGGATGGAGCAGGTACAGTACAGAGAAGGCAAGAAGATGTAAAGGAACAGTGGGAAGGAGCATGAAATACTTAGAAAAAGCAAGTGGTTCAGCGTGGCCAACATAGACAAAAGCATAAAAGCAACGCAGGGGATGAAGCTAACCTAGGCTCAACTGTGCTGAGCCTTTAGAAATTCCCATCAGGGATACGGAGCTGCTAAAGGTTTGAAGCAAAACAGCTGAATTTCAAAAAGAGATTCAAAAAGGAAACCCTTACAAAAGAACAAAATGAACTGAAAATCATACAAAGAAACCCAGTAAGGAGGCATTTATGGCCGTGGCTTATGAGCCTAAACTACAGTAGTTGTAACAGAAAAGGGACCAATTTAGGGACTCTGGCAGTAAAATACATGGATTTGTGGTGGGTGAAGGAGGTTGAACTTGGCTTAGTTATCTCTAGTCTGGGAAATTAGGTAGAGGATGGTAGCATTAATTGACATAACTAATATAAGAGTGGTACCCTCTTTTTGTTTGACTGGTTGTCTGGAGGAAAAGTACAATGAGTTGAATTCTGAATTTGTGTTACTTGAAATACCTATGAGTTACCCAAATGGCAATTTCTAGAAACCAGTTGAGAATACAAGAATACGTTTAGAGGATAGGCAGGGGCTGAAGTTATCAAAGTCACTTCTGTGAAGTTTAAAAGTTTTCACGTTTATCACAACTAAGAATCAAAATCACCATCCACCTTTGTATCTATCCTTTACTATCAAAAACAGAGTAACAAACATAGAAAGATATAAGACAATCAAGTTGTGGAAAAGACAGCAGTGGAAAGACCATGACTTGAAAAATAAAGAGGTTTCTGATAAAAGAACACCAAGTACATTAGAAGTATCAGAGTAGTCAATGGTAAGTAATACTATTTTATCTTTTAAGAAAATCAGTGAAGAATGGTGATTGCCAGGGGCTAGGGAGAGGATGGAATGGGGAGTAACTGTTTAATGGGTGCAGAGCTTTATTTCTACAGATGAAAAGAGTTCTGGAGATAGATAGTTGTGGTAAAAAATAGTTAAAGTGGTAAATTGTATGATATGTATATTTTACCACAATAAAAAAAAAAAATAAGAGGGGGCCAGGTATGGAGGCTTATGCCTGTAATCCCAGCACTTTGGGAGGCTGAAGTGGGAGTATTGCTTGAGCCCAGGTGCTTGAGACTAGCCTGGGCAACATAGCAAGACCTTGTCTCTACAAAAAATTTTAAAAATTAGCCGGGTATGGTGACATACACCTGTAGTCCCAGCTACTCAGGAGGCTGAGGCAGAGGATGGCCTGAGCCCAGGACGTCGAGGCTGCAGTAAGCCTTGATTATACCACTGCGCTCCAGCCTGGGCGACAGAGTGAAACCCGCAACTCAAAAAACAAAACAAAAACTTCCGCCCCCCTCCACACACAAACAAAAAACCCAGGCTTTACAAAGTGAAAAATAGTCTTTACCATACAATCCAGCAATTGTGCTCCTACGTGTTCACCCAATGAGTTGAAAACTTATGTCCACTCAAAAACCTGTACATGGCCGGGCTCGGTGGCTCAGCCTGTAATCCCGTGCCTTTGGGAGGCTGAGGTGAGTGGATTGCCTGAGCCCGCGGGTTCGAGACCCCCCTGGGCAGCGAGACCTCATCTCTACAATAAATTAATAAAAAAAAAAATCAGCTGGGCGTGGTAGCGCATGCCTGTAATTCCGGCTACTCGGAAGGCTGAGGCAGAAGGATCGCCAGAGCCCAGCAGGTCGAGGCTGTGGTGGCTGGGAGCGGCCACTGCACTCCAGTCTGGGCAACAGAGTGAGACTCCAACTCAAAAAAAACAAATAAAAAACCAAAAAAACCTGCACATGAATATTTATAACAACTTGGTTCATTACTGCCAAAACTGGAAGAAATCAAGATGTCCATCCATAGGTGAACAAACAAATAGAATATTGTTCAGCAATAAGAAGAAAAGAGCTATCAAGCCACAAAAAGACATGGAAGAAACTTAAATGTATATTGCTAGGTAAAAGAAGCCAGTCTGAAAGGGCTACATACTATGCGATTCCAATTACATGATATTCTGCAAAAGGCAAAACTAAAGAGATAATAAAAAGATCAGTGGTGTCCAGGAGTTGGGAGCTGGCAGGGAAGAATGAATACATGGAGCACAAGCGATATTTAGGGCATACTATCCTGTATGATATTTTAATAGTAGATAAATGTCACTATGCATTTGCTAGAACCCATAGAGTTGTACAACATAAAGAGTTGTTTATGTATCACTATCCACATCCACATATAATTTAACATAAAAGCTTTCAATATTATCTTTTAAAACATGGGTTTTAAAAAGAGAGTAATATTAAAAATTAGAAAAACTTTTTTCTTACTTTATCTGGAATTCTTGACCTGGTAAATTTGTGACGAATCCAGTCTGTACAAATGAGAGACTCCACACCTTTTGCCATAGTCTAAAATATGATGTAAACATCTATTTTTAGAACTGTGTCTAGTGCAGAAATTTATACCCACCAATCTTTAGATGACAAAAGTTTGTTCTGACTTAACCTATAATTGTAAAAGGTTTATCTTATATTGCAAAAGGTTTATCTTAGCTCTCTAGCTGAGTGAATATAACCCATCTAACCACTAGCATATTATAAAGCTAACAGCACATAAATATAGCCTTCTAGGTCACGGCTTGGTATGTTTTTCTGTAAAGGACCAAACAGTAAATATTTCCAGCTCTGGAGCTATATAGTCCCCACTGCCAAGACTCAAACCTGTCATTATAGAGTGAAAGCAGTTACACACAATATGCAAACAAATGGGCATGGCTATGTTTAAAAAAAACAACAACTTTATTTTCAAAAACAGGTAGCAAGGTGAATTTGGCCTAGGTCATAGTTTATCAACTCTTGCTCTAAACACTATGCAATAATTCACCGTCAACAAGACATGTAAAAGAAATCTGGCGGGGTGCAGACTGTAATCCCATCACTTTGGGAGGCCGAGGCAAGAGAGCTGCCTGAGCTCAGGGGTTCGAGACCAGCCTGAGCAACATGGCAAGATCTCATCTACAATAAATTAAAAAACCAGCTGGGTGTGGCAGTGCATGCCTGTGGTTCCAGCTACTTGGAAGGCTGAGGCGTAAGGATCACCTGAGCCCAGCAGATCAAGGCTGCAGTGTCTGTGAACAAGCTGCTCGAGGGCTCTAGCCAGGGCGACAGAGTGAGACTCTGACTCCAAAAAAAAAAAGAAAAAAAGAAAGAAAAAGAAATCCAAAATGAGTTTCCAGTTTTCTTTCTAGTCCTAACAATGTCATCACTCCTAGTTCCCATCTCTTGTTCCCTCTCTACATTCCTCCAATCCTGCTTCTCTCAAGCTGCTGAACAAAAAAAGTTCATTGCCAGTTTTTCATCCAGGAGACCGCTCTGTGGATGGGCAACAGTCAATCCCATAATTCCCTTCCAGCCTTCCCTGTACTACACAGATGACATAAACAACTAGAGAACAGACAGGAGGTAATGGGGTGGGAAAGGAAAAATATGGGCTCTTACATATCAGAAACACTGGACTTCTAATCCTGGCTATGCTGCCTACCAACTGTGAGACATGAAACACTTATCGTTCAGAGGGTCAGTTTCCTCGGCCCTTAAAAGGAACAATACTGACCTCAAAGAATTAATCTGAGGTTAAGATTACATACGGAAATCACCTGACATTATTGTCATCTATAGCCAGTAAGAAGTCTATATCTAGACTCTGGCTCTTATGAGTAGCTTGGGTGGCACCACTGCACTTTATAAAAGAAAGTCTGGAAGGAATATGTGAACATACTTACACTAATGAATATGAAAAGATTATTTATTTTCTTTCTGCTTTTCAATATTTTTCTAACTTTCTATGATTGAAAATGTACTCCTTTCATAATAGAAGGGAAAAAGAAAACCTAAAACATTAAGAAGATTAAGGCACACCAAGAGGAATCAACAGTCATTTTTTATTGACAGGTTCTCCAGAAAAAAATATTCTTTGATTCCAAATCTTTAGGGATAAAACAGCAGATAAACCATAATAATTAAAATTAACCCCCAACATTAACAACTATATAAAAAAGGAACTTGTATAATAATTTAACTTGTCTATATGTTTTATAACTAGAAAGAAAAAAGCTTCATAAGGAGTAGAAAAAAAGAATAATTCTTGAAAAGAAACACTTACCTGTAGTCTGCCTAGGGGCTTCTGAACTACTAAGTGTAAAATCCCTGCCATAAGTGTAGTGACTGTTCTCTTTAGAGGCTGTAAGAAGGAGAAAATGAAACCATCAGATAAGTCTTGAAAATGTAGACGGCCTCCCTTCTCTAGTATTAAAAAACTAAGCAAGTTAATTGGAAACTGGATTTAACAGTAAAATATGTTAGTTATTTTAATACAATAAGGGCAAGAATCAATTTATAATAAATATTTTATTCAGAGGTCAGCAAAACTACAGGTAGTAGTTACACATTAACCACATCCCACTTTCTTTCTTTCTTTTTTTACTTATAAAGATGTGGGGTACAATTCAGGGTTAGGTATACAAACACCGATTATGCAGGTACCCTTGTTGATGAAGTATGCCCCTCCCTTCCCTAGCAGTTTCCCTTTTCAACAAATGAATCAGAGATAAGTTTGATTTCACAAGACAAGGATGTGGGAGTTTACTATCATTTAAAAAGTCTTCTTTAACAGTGAGGGCAGATAAAGAATGCTTTGCCATAGAATCACAGAAAATTAAAGTGCTATAGGACTAAAGAAATTCCAACTCCTATAATTAGAAATGACTACCCCCTTACTTTATGTATGAGGAAAATGAATTCTAGAAAGTTCAATCACTTATCCAAGAGCATGCAGCTAACAACAGAGTATGTGGTCTGGGCCTAATGCCTAGTCAAGGGCATTTTCACTAAATTATAAAACCTTTCTGTTAAGAAGAAAAGTAGAACTCTCTTTTTTCCTTATTTGTATTTCTTAAACTATTCTTAATGTATATGCACTGCTTCCATAACCTAAAACGGTGATATTTATTTAGTTAGACACAATACAATTATAGCCTACTATACCAAGAGCAGACAGATTAGGTTCATGAACTACATGTATATTTTGGATATGTTTCCTAATTTTGTGTTTCCATTTTTTCCCCTAGAAAAGAAAGAAAACAATACCTATCTTGCAAATGAATTATTCTGCAAAACACCTAAAACAGTACCTGGCTCATGGGAAGCCCTTAATAAATTTACTATTTATTATATAGCATTTATTATTATAAAATTGTTAAATTATTGCAAAGCTAATAAGAATACTCTAACACACTAAAATAGGGTAAGTGCTGTATTTCAGTGTCTGCCAGATTCTGTCTCCCGCAGGTTCGGCAAGTCTTTACTGTAATGTGGACAAAGCAATAAAGTTTGAGAGACAACATAAGATGTCCCCTGAAAAGAGTCAGACTTCAGAAAAACTCCTAAAGAACTGAACCAATCTAGTGCTAAATTATTTTACCATATTTCTTCTTCCCATGTTAAGTATTATATACTAATCCAACTCATGTAGCTTCACAATTTGCTAAATTTTTCTTTTGCTCATTAGACTTCAACAAAATCCTCCTAACTGGACTTCTGGTTTCCATTCTAACCCTCTAGCATCTTTTTTCCATCTCAACAGTAGGCCATCTCATTAACTCCTGTATCAGATCATGTCACTCTGCTCAAAACCTTCCAAAGAGTCACGTTTCTCCCTGTTAGAATGTGAAGTTACACATAAGCAAGACAGGAAGGCTAGAATGATCCACATATACCAGATCAGAGTTGGATCCCATTCATGTTTAGTTTAATATAGACGTTGGTGGATATAGAAATAATTATAGATATATATGTATACATGGGCTAGCTCTATTAAGAGGTTCTAAAAGCAATAGCACCCAGCAGCAATGAGTACATCAAGTACCCAGATCTTGGTTTCTTTTTTTTTTTTTTTGAGTTAGAGTCTCACTGTTGCCCAGGCTGAAATGCAGTGGCATGCTAATGGCCACCCCAGTGTCAACCTGGTGGGCTCAGGCGATCCTTCTTCCTTAGCCTTCCAAGTGAACTACAGGCACGCGCTACAGTGCCTGCTAATTTTTTGATTTATTATAGAGATAAGGTCTCACCAAGGTGCCCAGGCTGTTCTCAAACCCGGGGGCTTGGGCAATCCTCTCACCTTGGCCTACCAAAGTGCTGGGATTACAGGCTTGAGTCACTGCACCTGGCCTAGATCTTGGTTTTTAATAGCATTCTCTAATAAAAGGAATCAGGGGTCCTTAGAGAAATGACTGATTATGTCTGGAGCATTTTGTAGTGCCAGAATGATATATTCAGAAAAGCAAAATGATGGGCAGTATGTCAAAAGGACATAGGTGCCAACTGAGAGTTCCCAGCGGCCAAAGCTAGAACAATCTGAACAACAAATTGGCTTATAACCCATAAGTAATAACCATAAGTCCATATTGATTTAAATAAGTGAATAAATTAGTGAGCGAAAAGGAACAAATATTCTCTACAAAAGAATTCCAAATAATTTATGTAGATATTCTATCTTCAAGGAAGTACTACTTATCCTGTAAGTGTGGGCTACGCTTAATCACTGGCTCCCAGAATACAGCATAGAAAAGGAGGGGATTCACTTCACAGTAGAGAAACCTGGCAAACACTTTCTCAGTCAGGCGACTAATGTTAATTAATATCAACACTCATAAAAGTCAAATTGGTAAGCTGTACCTTTGATAAGATGGAATGAGCATGGTATTTCATCCCTATGGTCTTTCTCCCCAAAACCCATAACAGAGAAAAAACATCAGAGAACTCCAACTGAGGGACACTGTACAAAACATTTGACTAGTACCTTCTTAAATACCTAACCTCCTCAAAACTGTCAAGGTCATCAAAAACAAAGAAAGTTTGAGAAACTGTCACAGTCAAGAGGAACCTAAGGAAGGAGACATGACCATTAAATGTAATATGGTATCCTGGATGGGATCATGGAATAATAAAAGGACATTAGGCAAAAATTATGGAAATCTGAATAAAGAATGGACTTTAGTTAATAATGTATCAATATAGGTTCATCAAATAAACCATGCCAATATATGGTGTAAATAAAGGGAAACTGGATGTAGTGTATGTAAGAACTCTACTATCTTCACAAATTTTCTGAAAATCTGAAGTTATTCAAAAATAAAATTTAGGAAAAAATTTAAAACTTCCAATGCCACTTCAATCACAATAAAAGCCAAAGTCCCCATACTCCCTTACCTCTGGAACTCCATCTCCAATTACTCTAGTGCTCAGTAACTAGATAAGTTGGCCCCTGTGTTTGAACTGGAACTAGCCATGCAGGCATGCTCTCTTTGGCCATATCTTCTGGAATGATCCTGATATTCACACGATTAATTTTCTTACCTTTTTCACTGTTTAGCTCAAATCTCATCTTCTCAATGATGTCTGCTCTGATCACATTAATGAACATTTTCACCCACACAACTGTCAGTACTCCCAATCCCTCCTACTCGATTTTCTTTCCATAGCACTTATATTCTAACACAACTTAATTATTTGTTTTAGGTTTGTTTGTCTCCACTCAATATCATAGATAGTTTCATAGTACACAGACCTTTAGATTTTGTTTTTGGTCTGTTATATTCACCGATGTATCCCAAGCATCTACCTAAGGCAGCATTTGCTCTGTAGTAGACACTCAATATATTTTTGCTGAATGAATGAGTTTTCATTTACAGATTTCAAAAGGTGTGGCAGTCAAAAGTAAATTTTTAGAGACAGAGTCTCATTGTGTTGCCCAAGTTGGCTGCTGGCATCAAACTCCTGTCCTCAACCAAGCCTCAGCTTCCCCAGTAGCTGGGTCCACAGGCATGCACCACTGCACTTGGCTCAAAAGTTGTAAGTTTTAATAAAGTAAAAAGTTATTCTTAATAATTAGGCACATAACTTTTGGACCCTGTAGCAATTATACTGTCTCCTACCATACAATAACTTGTTTCTTGCACAGCTGTGAAAATAGTAAAATACCAGGCATAGTATAAGACATATGATTCCATTTTCATTTTTTAAAATGTCTGTGAATGTTTGTGTTGCACAGGAAAACCTCGGAAGGTTGTCAGATAAACATTAGCATAACCCTGGGAGGGAGGCAACAAAGGCGATTTTTCCTTTTTTCCCCTGAAATGTTTGATAATTTTTTTTCTTTTTGTCTGTTTATGATGACCATTCAAGCAACAGTAGTTTTTAAAAGCTACTTCTTTTTCTAAAAAGAGATGTATCTACTTATTAAAGGGGGAAAAAGACTACTGAAAATGCAGTAAACAGCGATCCCTGAAGGTCTCTTCTCTGAACTCTTTGTGCCTACCAAGTAGTAGGCAGCCCTCATAACTGCCTCTTGGCAAAAAAGGCAGGACAAGCAGCTTTGGGCAGGTCTCAATCAAAACATGGTAGCAAAAGGATAGTTTTCAGTAAAATGGCAAATACTTTACCTCCGAACTCTGGACAGTTTGCATTCTAAAACGCAGCATTTTAAAAATTAAGACAATTTTGTCTTCATTAAAAAAAGATTAAGTTGCACTGATCCTCAAAGGCAACCCTAAGTTATGAATAAGCAACTATCTTTCTCAAGCAATCAAGCTCCGCGGCTCCGCCCTGGGGGGAGTCAGCAAACCGCGCGGCCCCGGCTCTTTAGAATGGGGAAACAAGAGCTGGACGGCAACAGTTTTAAAGGAGCCGATAAAGTGGGAGGTTGCAATAACTTCCAACTCTGCGGAAAAGGGAAGATCAATCAACAGAGACCTTCCAGATACACACTCCTGGCAAAAATTGTACTTTCGGCCACTCACCCCCCACTCACCGGCGCCCGCTAAGTGTTCAGCCCGAACTTTCCCACCGAGGCGAAGTCGAGCGCAGGAAGAACTCCTAAGTGCAACCTTAAGACGGTGCCGCCGCCGTGAGTGCGACCCACGAAGTGAAGCATTTTTGTTCCGGCAAAGTCCCGCCTACTCAAGAAGGGACCTAGAAAGAGAACGCATGCGCCCGGATGTCACGTGACCACTTCCCGGAAGCGAGGCAGATTCGCGAAACTTGGCCTCGATTGAGGCCGAGGGGAGTTCGCCAAATCATGGCCAAGTCCGGAATGGGGCAGGATCCCGAGAGTCCAGCAGCAGTCAAGGTGTTAAAGCGGGCAGTGGAACTAGATTCGGAGTCCCGGTATCCGCAGGCCCTGGTGTGTTACCAAGAGGGGATTGATCTGCTCCTGCAGGTTATGAAAGGTGAGCAGTGAGCCAGGGCGGGAGGACTTGAGGAAAAGGAGCTGATTCCTATGTGACTGGGTTGAAGTGAGAGTTGCGATTCCACGAAAAAGCGAACACAGAATGTGAGATGTTCTATAGCAGCGGTCTCCAACCTTTTTGGCATAAGGGACCGGTTTCGTGGAAGGCAATTTTTCCGCAGACCGGGGGTGGGGAGGATGGTTTTGGGATGATTCAAGCGCATTACATGTATTGTGCATTATATTCTATTATTATTACATTGTAATATGTAATTATACAACTCACCATAATGAAGAATCAGTGGGAGCCCCGAGCTTGTTTTCCTGCAACTAGAGAGTCCCATCTGGGGGTGCTGGGAGTCAGTGACACCCGAAGTGTGTTGCTTATGTCCAGTCTACTCTGTAATCTCGTTTTGGTTGGTGTCACTGCAGAATATCTTGCTTCACAAAGATATGATGTTGGAAATGGAAGCAGGCTTTTCAGTGCTGATCTGGAGGTGGAGCCTCGGCGGTAAATATAGATGAAGCTTCCCTTGTTTGCCCGCCCCTCACCTGCTGTGCAGTCTGGTTCTTAATAGGACATGGCCGTTTTGTCCCGGGGGGTTGGGGAATCCTGTTCTACAGGACAACTGGGCTGGTTTCTTTTAGATCTTAACAGATTGATGTCATCAAGAAAAGGGGGGAGGGTAATATTCTAGATTTTAAAAGACATAACCAAATGTTGTACATAAGCCTTGATAGGATCTGGGTTTGAACGAACTTCAAAATACATTTTTGGTTCAATTTGGAAAGTTTGAGTATAGATTGAGTGTCATTGAAATGGTTAATTTTGTTAGGCAATATGAGTTTTTTGGAAAACTGTCCTTCATTTTTAGAGATGAAAGTGTTTTGGAAAGAAATGTCATGATGTCTGTAATTTAATTTTACTTAAGCAAAAAAAAAAAGTTGAAGCAAATTTGGCAAAAATTTTAACAATTTAAAAAATCTAGATGATGAGCAATAAGAGTGTTTATTATAATATTCTTACATTTCTTTAAAAATATTTTCATCAGAAGTAAACAAAAATAAAATCACGTAGTGGTAGAAGAAAAAAAACTTTCTTAAATGGATGTACTGAAATTCTGTATGAGAAATGGGCAGGATTGTAGAGGGACAGTGAGGCTTTTCCTATTATGTAGTTATTCAGTGTTGAGAAGTACCCAAATTTCCTTAATACCCAGTACAGCGCCTGGCTCACAGTAGACACCAGTAATTATGTATTAAATTGATAAGACCAATGCCTGCTCCTTAACCCCCTGGAGCTCCTTTGTGCTTTCTAGTTTAAGCGTGTTATAATTTAAGTGTTACAGAAGTTTTGAAGCATCAGAGTTTAGTGCTCTCCTCAGAACTATAAACTCCACTTTGCATGAGGCTCCTTGGGTGATGATGACAAGGATGACTATGACAGCGGCTATAAAGATAGTTATCATTTATGAGTGCTGAGTGCCAGGCACTGCAGAGCACATTAAGAGTATTGATACTGCCGGGCTCGGTGGCTCAGCCTGTAATCCCGCGCCTTTGGGAGGCTGAGGTGAGTGGGTTGCCTAGCCCGCGGGTTCGAGACCCGCCTGGGCAGCAAGACCTCATCTCTACAATAAATCAAAAAATCAGTCGGGCGTGCTAGCGCATGCCTGTAATTCCAGCTACTTGGAAGGCTGAGGCGGAAGGATCGCCGGAGCCCAGCAAGTCGAGGCTGCGGTGGCCGGGAGCAGCCACTGCACTCCAGTCTGGGTGACAGAGTGAGACTCCAACTCAAAAAAAAAAAACAACAAAAAAGAGTATTGATACTGTTTCATCCTTACAATTGCCCTGTGAAATAGGAGTTGATGGTACTCTCATTTTATAGCATAGAAGTAGTTAGCTTTCAAGTTTTGCCACTAGGAGGTGGTAGCCACAGTTGGAGCCCAAGGCCTTGATGACTGTGGGATACTGAATCCCCAAAAGATTGATGGTGTACGTGTTGGTTGGGTGGAACGCTGTTAAAGTTCTGGCTGCTGTAGGGTTCTGAAGCAGGAGAATCATAGCAGTTCTCCTATAACGTCTTTCACGGATCCCATAGGTTACAGAGACAGTGACATGACTGAAAACCTTAAGACCCAAATAGCAAATAACTCTAATACAGGGAATAAGTGCCAGAAGAGAGATATATACAAGTGCAGTGAGGATTTAAACAGTTAAATGCCATTTGGGGATGGAAAAGTAGAGGTGTTTGATAGGGCTTTGGAGGAAAAAGTAGAATTTCAGAAGTCAGAAATTCAGCTAGGAGTATTCAAATTCTGCCTGTGCTGTTTTACCAAATAAATAACTGGTTTAGTTTGGTTCAACGTATGTCAGTTTGGGTCATATTGTGAATGGCATTGACTGTTATACAGTCATTCTGTTGGCAAGGAGAAACCATTGGAAGTTTGTTAGGGGAATAAAATAATTAGAGTTGCATTTCAGGGCTTGTCTCTTTTAGGAATATGTTCTCCTGTAAATGTTTGTATGGCATGCTCCCTTTCCTCCTTTGGGTCTTTACACAAACATAACCTTTATGAAGCCTTCCTTGAGCTCCAGCATAAAATTACAACCGCATTCCAGCACTTCCTGTCCTCTTTCCTTGCTTTATTTTATTTGACAGTACTTATCACAATCTAATATATGTCTTACCAATTTAATTGTATTTTCCCCTGCTTGAATAATAGGGGAAAATTGTGTCTGTTTTATTAACTATTGTATCCCTGGTGCTTAGAACAATGTCTGGCATGTAGTTAGTTTTCCATAAATAGTTCTTTATTAATGACTAAATATGGTAAGAATGTAAAATACACATTAACTTGTAGAGACCGAAGTCAAGCAGACCAGGTAAGGAGCTCCTGCTGGAATCAAGATGAGAGGTGAGTATAGCCATTATGAAAAACAGTATGGAGATTCCTCAAAAAGTTAAAAAGAAAATAAATAAATAAAAGTAGAAATTTTGACCACCAAATGGAGACCCCGTATTGACTTTTAATGATAGGCTATCTGAGAAGTAATCCTAAGAATAAATGCTTAAACTGAAAGAAAAATAAATATAGAACTACCATATGATGTAACAATCCTACTACTGGGTATATGTTCAAAAGAAATGAAGTCAGTATGTTGAAGAGATATTTGCACTTGCATGTTTGTTGCAGCACCATTCATAATAGCCAAGATATGAAATCAAATTAAGTGTTCATCAGTAGATGAATAGATAAAGAAAATGTGGTATGTATACCCGATGGAATATTATTCAACCATAAAAAAACGAAATCTTGTCATTTGCAACAATACAGATGAAACTAGAAGAAATTATGTTAAGTAAAATAAGCCAGACAGAGAAAGATAAATACCACATGATCTCACTCATGTGAAATCTGAAAAAGTTGATCTTACAGAAGTAGAGAGTAGAATTGTGGTTACCAGAGCTGTATAGGAAAGAGGGGATGGAGAGAGGCTAGTCAATGGGTACAAAGTTACAGTTAGATAGAAGAATAAGTTGTAGTATCCTACTGTACAGTAAGATGACTATAGTTAACAATAATGGGCAGGTAAATCATAAACAAAACAAAGCAATAATGCATTGTGTATTTCAAGATAGCTAGAAGAGAGGATTTTGAATGTCCTTACCAGAAAGAAACAGTAAATAGTTGAGGAGATAGGTATGCTCATTACTGTGATTTGATCATTACACAGTGAATATGTTTATCAAAATATCACATTGTACCCCATTTTAAAACTGTTCAAAAAGATGAGAGGTGATATGGGCCTGAATGAACCAGGAAGATGATACCAGTAATAGGATAAGGAGGGGACAAGTGAATCTTGAATTAGAAGCCTGGAAAATTGTGGCATTATGATTGAAGGATGGGTTTACGGTGTCAAACATTGCCAGCTGATCAAGGATGATGACTAAGAAAGGACTACTGCATAAGTTAAAGCATAGCAAGATTGAGGAAAGTTATTTTTGGTTTTCTTTTGGCAGGAGAGGGATGGGAAAGATGAAGCATGCTTACAGGCAATAGCAAAATAACAGTAGAGTTTAAGAAAAGAGATATTGGCCAGGTGTGGTGGCTCAAGCCTGTAATCCCAGCACTTTGGGAGGTTGAGGCGAGAGGATTGCCTGAGCCGGCAGGTTTGAGACCAACCTGGGCAACATGGTGAGACCTCATCTCTACAATAAATCAAAAAATTAGCTGGGCGTGGTAGCGTGTGCCTTAGTTCCGGCTACTTAGAAGGCTGAGGTGGAAGGATCACTGGAGCCCAGCAGGTCGACACTGATGTGGTCATGAGCATGCCACTGCATGCAGCCTGGGCGACGGAGTGAGACTCGAACTCAAAAAAAAAAGAAAAATAGAAAAGAGTTAACAGATAATTTGTGTTTCTAAAGGAAACCCAGAATGAGGTATATGGAAAGGAGTATGGAAAGAATTACATAGAGGATAATGATGTTGACAACATTTATTGAGTAGTTCTTACATGCCAGGTTTTTTAATAATTAATCAGATCAACAGCTCTCTAAGGTACTGCTTGAGTAGAAAAACTGTTTTGAAACTTGAGAATATATATTTTTAAATTTATAGGCACCAATGATCATACTAAGAGATGTAATCTCAGAGAAAAAATAACCCGCTACATGGAAAGAGCAGAAAACATAAAGAAATACTTGGATCAAGAAAAAGAAGGTAAAGAGGCTGTTTTAGAAAATGTGTCCATGGATTGTGTGAGCCCAGGAGTTCGAGGCTGCAGTTAGCTATGATTGTGTACTGACAAATGATGGGGGTAGCCTGGGTGATAGAGGGAGGCCTTGTCTTAAAAACGAAACAAGGCCAGGTGCGGTGGCTCATGCCTATAATCCCAGCACTTTGGGGGGTGGAGTGAGAGGATTGCCTGAACCCAGGGGTTCTAGACTAGCCTGGGCAACTTGGCAAGACCTCCACTTTACAATCATCAAAACATTAACTGGGTGTGGTAGTGCATGCCTGTGGTTCCAGCTACTTGGAAGGTTGAAGTAGAAGGATCGCCCAGTCCCAGCAGTTTGAGGCTGCAGTGGCCATGAGCATTCCAATGTACTCCAGCCTGGGTGGCAGAGTGAGACTCCGACTCAAAAAATAAAAATAAATGAAATAAACAAACACCCCCCCCCACCACACACATACAAAGTGTTCCATAAGCTACTGTGATACAATCCATTCGCCCAGTGTTTCTGACTCCTGCCCTTTGGAGCTCTGTGTGGTCGGAATAATTTGTCCCTGGAAGCATACAGATTCACTCCCCTATACAGCAATTATTCTTCATCTTTTCTAGCTGAATGTGGGAGGGTAAGACACCCCTTTGGGCATCTGATGAAAGCCATACCTACTACAGAACTTTACATGCCAACTTTAAGGAATTTACAGATGTCCACAACACAAATGTGTGGACCCCAGTTTAGAACTACTGCAGTTCTTAAAATCCTGTATTTTGTTATTTTCTTTTATGAAATGATCAAAATTATGAAAATAGCTTAAGAAACTTCTGGGATTTTGCTCAGATTTTTGTTGTGAATCAAAACATTTCAGACCACTTTCCTTCGCAGAAGTCAGTGGGCTCATCGTAGTTTCGCATGTCTGGACGCCAAGCCGCCCGGTACTTACGATGCTGCGTGGAAGCTGAAGCCGCACATCCCGCTTGGCCCCTCCCACATGGCCCCTCCGGCCAGCTGGGCCCCTCAGATGAGAACTGCTCCCAGGTCAGCACTGGCAGCTCAGCCGCCAGCAGCGGCCCCACCATCTGCTGTTGGCTCACCGGCTGCTCCTCCCCGGCAGCCAGGTCTGATGGTCCAGATGGCAACCCCAGCAGCTGGTGTGGCTGTGGGCTCTGCTGTTGGGCACACACAGGGTCATGCCATCACTGGGGGCTTCAGTGGAGGAAGTAATGCTGAACCCGCAAGGCCTGTCATCACTTACCAGAACCTTAGCAGCCCACCCCACACAGCAGCAGCAGCCTTGCTTTTATGAGATAAAACAGTTTTTGGAGTGTGCCCAGAATCAGGGTGATTTAAAGCTCTGTGAGGGTTTCAGGAGGTGCTGAAACAGTGCAGACTTGCAAACGGATTGGCTGAATCTAGAAGGTCAGATTGAAGAAATAGAAAATCGGCTCTCATGACCAAGTTGATTTAGCATAAAAATATAATTGATAGTGAAGATATAAAGTGCAAAACCACCAGTTAAACCTCCCCTCTGTCATTCATAGCTTCCTTCAGAATTGCAATGGAAGAGATGGTCCTTACTGTGTAGAATTTCATTAAGATCGTGTAGTATTTGGGACTGGGCAAATGTTTGTGTGGCCTCCTTAAGCCAGCTGTTGTGATTTTGTTTTTTTGTGAGTTAATTAGAATAAAGTGGTTTTCTTCCAAGAAAAAAAAAAAAATTTTCAGGAGTTGAGTATTAATGACTAGAGGTGAGGTAGGTATTGTTCCCTATTTATTATTAGTTATTATTAGCATTCAGTTAACGAACGTCTATATAAATGGCCATTGCCATCTTTAGCTGACTGTACACTACTGTTGCTTTCTATAGCCAAGGGTACTGCCACCCTCAAAAACCAATGCCCCCAGCTACCAGCTGTTCTTCCTTTCTATCCTATTACAACTCTTTCCCAACCTCTTCCTATTATTCTGTACCAACCCCGTACCCTAGGGACCCCTACTGTGCTCCCCTGTTGAGTGGGAATAAAACTGTGTTTCCTTCACCCAAAGTTGAAATCTAGAATGATTCTAGATTTCTAGAATCCAAAACATTGATGAACTGTAGTAGCATCAATACTGTAGTCTGAATGCATTGAGTTAAATTTTCCTATATGGCCAACTTGGCTTGAAAACTATAGTTGCTAGTAATATTTCTGTGGAAATATGTGGAGCAGAATCAAAACTCCTGATTTTTAAACAAAGTGCAAAGTGTAACACCTTATAAATGAGAAATTACCATTAGGGGTCTTATTTTTTTAAAAACCTGAAAGGTCTCTGATAAAGTATTCAATGATTACTCATTGGGAATTAACAAAACAGTGGAACTATCCACTGATCCTGTGACATCCCAGTCTTTAGCTTGGGTTATTAAGAAATATAAATTTCTGCTGAAAACACTTTACAAGTGCCAAGACTTCTAAACTCTATATTGTACTCCATTTATGTTAATCTTTACTTTAGATATTAAATTGTAAGACATTTAAAAAAATCTGAAGAGAAGAATCAGATAGCCACTGAGTTACAGCTTGTGCTTCTACCCATAGTGACAGGAAGTAAACAGATACCTTTATACATACAGTGTTTTCTTGAATAAACTACCTGGGTATAGGATCCAGCTCAAGAACCTGTTCCAAGAAACCTCTGAATTTTTCCTCTTGTCTGGTTTCTGTGAAGGCAGAGATCACTCATGGAGTGGTTTGCCTCTTTGTGTAGCATCTTGCAATGTATGTGGTATTTAGTAGGCATTCAATACATATTTGTTGAGTAAATAAGTTAATTTGTATCTGATCCTGATTAAACACTATATGTGAAATATAAAATGTGTAAAAAATAAATGGACACTGGTCTTATTATGGAAGGTTGTGTTTTTATAGATGGAAAATATCACAAACAAATTAAAATAGAAGAGAATGCAACAGGCTTCAGTTATGAGTCACTTTTTCAAGAATATCTTAATGAGACAGTTACAGAAGTTTGGATAGAAGATCCTTATATTAGACATACTCATCAGGTATGTGAAATGAACTAAAATACAGTATAATGAAGTATTATTTTAAATATACTAGTTAGTAATAACCCATCCTAATGTCTTTCAGCTGTATAACTTTCTTCGATTTTGTGAGATGCTTATTAAGAAACCATGTAAAGTAAAAACTATTCACCTTCTCACCTCTCTGGATAAAGTAGGTATCTGAAGGCACCTATTCTTTCTTGTTAACTTTACTCAGTTACTAGATGAGTCCAATCAAGGAAACACTGGATACAATGCTTGAAGTTAATTCCTTGAGAATTAACTTATTATCTAACAATAGGCGTAGTATATCTTAAGGTTAATGTTATTGATTTTAGGATGTGAATCTTAAAAATTGTGGCTACTTTGCTCTTATTAGTTGAAATACTTTGTCAGTTTGGTCTCTTGGATGCTTTAGGAAGCAATCATACTACTGACAATTTTGTCTCTTTACCAGTTAGTATATGTGGGGGATAGATAGTCACATGATATGAACGATATGATAGTGAACATTCCCATATTGATGTTGACTGAAATAGGAATGCTTTTAAATAATTATTATTATTAGGATTAATTTGAAAAGAAGGCATTCCCATCTAGATGACTAAGCATCATTACTAAAATACATTTAAGGAGTGAGGATGGAATTGTGTTATGTTAACATCAGTGGGGGAAAAACCCCAGTTACTTTGATAATAACAATTGCTCTTTTTTTCTGAGCCAGGGTCTTACTCTGTCACCCAGGATGGAGTGTACTGGAATGATCAAGGCTTACCACAGCCTCAACCTCCTGGGCTTAGACAATCCTTCTACCTCAGCCTCCTAAGTAACTGGGACGACAGGCACATGCCACCACACCTGGCTAATTTTTTGATTTTTTTTTTTTTTTTGTAGAGACATGGTCTTGCTATGTTGTCCAGGCTGGTCTTGAACTCTTGGGTTCAAGCAATCTTGGCCTCCTAAAATGCTGTGATTACAGGCATGAGCCACCGTGTCCAACAGAGATAATTACAATTGCTTTTTAAGCTACTTCACATTCTTGGGTTTCTTCTTTGAGATAACAGATATTGAAAGTAGTATAAAACATTAATCCATCTATGACATACAGTTGTATAGCTTAGAGATAATTTAAAATGTTAATAACTGATACAGAAAATTGTATATTTGCTATTAACAGGGCATTGAGAGAGAGCAGCAAAATAGGGGCCTGAAAGAAATAAAAGAGTCACTCAGGAATTATGGAGTGCTGTTGGAAATAGAATACTCTTCTTCAATACATGACCGAGAAATTAGGTTAGTGTATATTAATATTTTAATTTTTATGCAGTTAAAATATATTTTAAAAATTTCTTTTAACAAGTTTTATATAATTGCATATAAATATTTAAAATTTAAATAAAGCTCAGTTTTAGTAACCTTTCATTTTTTTAATTTTACTTTTTTTGAGTTGGAGTTTCACTCTGTCACCCAGAGTGGAGTACAGTGGCACACTCCCAGCCACTACAGTCTCGCCCTGCTGGGCTCCGGCGATCCTTCCGCCTCAGTCTTCCAAGTAGCTGGAACTACAGGCGCGTGCTACCACACTCGGCTAATTTTTGATTTATTGTAGAGACGAGGTCTCGCCAGGTTGCCCAAGCGGGTCTCGAACCCACAGGCTCAGGCAATCCACTTGCCTCGGCCTCCCAAAGTGCTGGGATTACAGGCTCAGTCACCGAGCCTGGCCTACTTTTCATTTTTGAGAAGAGAAAAAGTTGCCTTACTTTGTCTTGAGTTTAATATTTCCTGACGGAATAAAATGTACATGTTCTGTGTCATGTAGGAAGAGGGAATACTTTTCTGTCTACTAGATACATATAGTGTTACGATATTGGGATTTCTTTTTAGTGAAATTAACATTTGCTTAATATGGTTTTACTTCTTATGGGTTATTAAACGTCCTAGTAGGCATGACAGCATGCTGAATTTATTAAAAAAAAAAAAAATATATATATATAGTTATTTTAGTGATATCTTCCCTTTGTTTAGCACAGTGGTTTTCGTATATTTATATCAAGGGTACCCTCAGTTTTAATGAAAACTTTTGCACAACCTAAATATGCAATACAGATGAAAATGCAGCTGCTGTATTTAAAGCAGAGGTCAGGGTCCAGGCTCCCTGCTCATATTCCCCATCTTTAGGAAGGGCAATTCCTGAAGCACCACCAGTCTCCCTAATATATTTTGCAGGTACTTGTTAGCAGAACAGGGAAGTTTTATCAACAAGCTGAAATTCAAGAGTACATTTTATTTGTTGAGCTATCAGCTGATAAAATCAGCCAATTGTTTCTGACTGCTTTGTTTCATTGTAGACACAACCCATGATTATTAACTGCAGATTTGATTTGACTCATGCCACTGAAGGAAGTGGTTTGCTTTTTTACGGAGACATTTTGCTGACACTTAATATACTACAGGTTTAATAACTGTCTAAACTAAATGTCTTGAATATAATACCATATACGAATTTCAATAGGTTCAACAATGGATGGATGATTAAGATCGGAAGGGGACTTGATTATTTTAAGAAACCACAGGTAGGATATAATCTTATGAATAAGTGTATAGCAGTTTTGGTATGATTTGTAGTAATATTCTTTTCTTCTCTTCTTAGGGTCATTTTTCCCTTGGATACTGTGATTTTGATTTAAGACCATGTCATGAAACAACAGTGGATATTTTTCATAACAAGCATACAAAGAAAATATGATGGGTAGTAATCTAATGTATATTATATATTTTTACTGTGAATATTAGATACTTTTTGAACAGATAATTTTTATAATGTGTGACTTTAACAATAAATATATATTTCTACTGATTTATTGATCTGTTGTCCAGTTGTGGAAACACTCTTAAATATTTCTGTAAATATATTACTTAGTAGATTTACAGTGTTTCTTTCAAGTCATACAGCTAATTTAAACATTTTGCCAGCTTTTCTCTTATTTGGTTGTGGAAACATAAATCAACAAATAATGAGCAACTGTTATGAAGATGAATTGGCTCTTAATCTTGCCCAGGGAGTTTCAAGTCCAGGAGGGGAAATCATCATGGATTAGAGTACTTTTAAAAGACTGATGAGCTTGGGGGTCTAATAATCAGGGAAAAAGTACAATGTTAATTTTGTTACAATTAGGATAATTGTCACTGACAAACATTTACCATCACTCAATTGTCCAGTATTACTTAACTCCAAAAGGCAAATCAACCCATTTAATTATCCAAAAGCATTTTACAGCTCATTCACTTTGGCTGGCACATTTGTAAAGCCTTGTAGCTTAGAATCAGCTGTTCTGGGTGTTCTGGGTAGGTCGTTCACTCAGATGTTAGTTGAGTGGTTGGGGACAAAGAATAGGCGTCATGGAGACAAGCTAGTAAAGGGGAGACTGAGGTAGCAGCGGCAGTTCACAAGTTTAAAGAACGAGCTAAGCCAAAGTATTTGAGAGGAAAACTGAAGTACCTGTATTCAGTATTGGAGAGTGCACACATAAGCATCACATCTGGAGAACACTTAAGCAGAGTTCAATGATGTAGAGGACCAAAGGCTGACAGAAGTCATGGGAGCAAGGTTGGACAGAGTGGTCCTGCATCCTTGGACACTATGTGTTTCTTTTGTGGGCCAGGAGGTACATGATTGAGTTTGTATAAAAGGCCAGGAAGGGCTTCCAGAAGAGTTCCTGATGTTTTCCTTTGATGTTTTCAGGTTCAGGTGCTGATAATGCTGAATCTGAAAAATTTTAGACTTGAACCAGTTTTGCTAAACATTATATGGAAATTCAAGATCTCAGGAGAACACTTGGACAAGTGTGAGACAAGTGTTCTGGTCAGAAGTTCCTTTCTGCAGAATATCCTAACTTATCTTGCCAGGCATCCACTGCCATGTGGAAATGAAGTGGCTTTTTACTCAGGTAAGAACATGTGTTAGATCTCTTTACCTTCGTGTTAAAATAACAATCCTGGTTTTTAGAACATATTAATCTGTCACTCTAAGGAATCAGTAATCCATAACCCTGTGAAATTAACTTTTATCCAAGTCCTATAAAACTCCTGGCATAATATTCAAAGAGAGCCTGGGTGTGGTAGCTCATGCCTGTACTCCCAGCACTTGGGAGGCTTAGGTAGGAGGATTGCTTGAGCATCAGAATTCAAGACCAACCTGAGGAATATAGTAAGACCTTGTCTCTACAAAAAAAGCAAATAATTAGCCATGTGTGGTGGCACACGCCTGTAGTTCCAGGAGTTTGAGGCTGTGGTTAGCTGTGATCATGCCACTGCATTCCAGCCTGGGTGTCAGAGTGAGACCCTGACTCAGAAAAATAAAGTAAAAAAAAAAAAAAAGTCTGTAGAAATTCTATCCGTTATTTTAGATAGTTGGAGTTCTATCCCCAGATCAAATTAGAGCACCACAAGGCTATCAGGTACAATTTTAAATATATCAAGAAATGTACAAGAATTATATGAACAACTATAGGCTTTATGAAAGGATGTAAAAGAAAATTAGAGTAAGTGAAAAGACAAATTATATTCCTGAATGGGAAGACTTAATGTCAGTTCTCCATAAATTATAAATTAAGTGACAAAAGAGATTAACACTAGGAGATTTGCTTGGCCAGCTATAAAGACATATAGTTACAATAATTTTCTTAACAACATATGGGCATAGGAATGGGCAGATAAATCAATGGGACAGATTAAAGAGTCCAGAAACACATTTGAGAGAGAGAAAATGAATGTGTGTATGGTGTCATTTCAAATTAGGGGGGAAAGAGTTCAACAAATTCAATAAATTAACACTAGGTCTCTACCATATTCCACACAAAGGAAATAATTCTAGATGAATTAAAGGGCTAATTAAATGAAAAATCTATACTTAAAAAAGAACTCCACTAAATGAATTAAGCATAACATAAAGCCCAGAACTGTCAAGGAAAGGAAAAAGCAAAATATTCGATTGTGTAAATATTTAAAACTTGAGTAAGGGGAGCCATAACAAAGTTTAAAAAACATATAAGAAATCAAATTAACTCATTTTTAGTGTTCCTAATATATAAGGAAGATGATCAGACTTTTGGCAGTGACCTTGACCTGACCTCCTTTGCCTCTCCAAGAGCAATTTCTCCTGCTCTGCTGCCTTGTTTCTACCAGTACATACATCCTCAGTCAGATGCCACCTATTTTTTGTTCTCTTTCATGAACAAACTTCTCCATGGAGTTCTAATTCAACTGCCTATTACACATTTCATATGGCATCTCTGAAACACACAAACATTTCAAATATAATATACCCCACCTGAATTCTTCATATACACTCCCCTACTTCCCGTGTTTACTCCCATCCATCCAGTTGCTCAAATAAATCTAGGAGTTGTTTTGACTCCTCTTATTCCATATGCAAACATTCATAAAGTTCTGTGAAATCTACCTTCAAAGTATATCATGCCTCTATCTGTTCCAGGTGTTGCTTGGTCCAATTTTCTTTTGAACTTGAAGCACTTAACACCCTTCACCTGATGATATTCTCTTTCTTGAGAAACAAATGGTACTACTGCATCAAAGCATATCAAGACTTTCATACCTGTCTCAGAAAATAATTTTCATGTGTTGCCACAAGTGTAATGCTTAAAAATATGCCCATGAGGAGTCTATAATCGTGTTTAGTTGGTGTATTTAATGTTGCTGCCTAAGGACAAAAGAACCTGCCCATTAAACCTGGCTCAAATGAAGAACAGCTAAACATCAGGCATGTCTGTCCCAGGAACAACTTGAAAAGTAAAATCCCCTTCCCGTACTCCACCCCCACTCTGAGATAACTAGTTGTAGGCAAAACCCTGTGTGTCTACTTCTGCTCTTCCTTAAATAAAAGGGGCTGGAGTGGGCCTGGACCCACTCAGATACATGAAAAGAAAATAATTCATTAAAAAAAGAGGACTGAAATCAATGTGGTGATATACAAATACTGTTATGTTGTTTGAGGTTGTGTTTCAGGCTGAATTATGCCCACCCCTGAAATTCTTACCTTGAAGTTCTTATCTCTAGTACCTCAGAATGTAACCATATTTGGAGATAATGTCTTTAAAGAGGTAATTAAGCTAAAATGAGGCCTGTAGGTGAGCCCCAATCCAATATGACTGGTGTCCTGATAAGAACAGGAGATTTGGACACATAGTCATGCACATAGATCATATGAGGAAATGGGAAAGTGGCTGTCTGCAAGCCAAGGAGAGGTCTCATAAGAAACCAAATCAACTGACACCTTGATCTAGGACTTCCAGCCTCCAGAATTGGGAAATTTCTACTGTTTAGACCACCTAGACTATGGCCTAACTTATACTGTCTCACTGATTCCTTTTTAAAAGAACCAAAATTAAGCCCTGTCCTGTAAACAGGAATCACTCCTAATTTTTGACAAGTGCCTAACACTGTCTACTTCTTTCCATGGCCACTATCAGTACCATCTCTTGCCTGGACTCCTACAGTAGCCTTGCAACTGGCTCTCTGCTTCCTATCTTGTCTCATATCAAATCATTCTTGACAGAGTAGCCGGAATAATCCTTATAAAAGCTGTTTCTTCTCATTGCACTTAAAATGAAGCTCTACCTGGACTTATCAGTATCTACATGACCTGGTCTCTGCTTTTCTCTCCAATTTCATCTTGCCCCATTTTTCTCCTTGTCTCCACATTTGAGTTTGCCTGTACTTCCTTCAGTACCTTCAATAAGCCTAGCTTTTTTCTGCTTTTAGGAAAAAAGTATGCTGTTCTGTGTGGTAAACTGTAACTTCCAAAAATGGCTGCAACAAAATTCCCCATTTCAGAAGCTCTTTGTATAATGACTTTGACATTCTTCCTATGGAGAGGTGGGTTGTATGTTCTCTCCCTTGAATTCTGATGTGCTTGTGACTATAGAAGTGATAATATGTTACTTTCAAGGCTAGATTACAAAAGGAAATACAGTTTCTGCTCTGCTTTCTTGGGTCATTTGCTCTGGGAACACAGCCACCATGTTGTGAGGAAATCCAGGCAGCTCAAGTGGAAAGGAGCTGAAGCTCTCAGCTCCAGCGGAGCTCCCAGCACCAGTCTGCCAGCTGTGCAAGTGAGCCTTCTTGGAAGTAGATATTTCCGTTCCCAGTTAAGCTATTATAGCAAATGCTGTTAGTATCACATGGGTCTAAGATAAATTTTTAAAGATGAAATAAAATGAAATACAAAAGCTGAGTGGATTGCCTGAGCCTGTGGGTTCGAGACCCGCCTGGGCAACTTAGCAAGATCTCATCTCTACAATAAATCAAAAAATGAGCTGGGCGTGGTAGTGCGCGCCTGTAGTTCCAGCTACTTGGAAGGCTGAGGTGGAAGGATTGCCAGAGCCCAGCAGGTTAAGGCTGTGGTGGCCGGGAGCGGCCACTGCACTCCAGTCTGGACGACAGAGTGAGACTCCAACTCAAAAAAAAATATATATATATATATATTATTATATATTACATACTATATATATATATAAGAAAAGTAAATAACAAGGATAAGCAATGTATTGTCAAGCTTTGTTAGGTATACACGAATATATGTGTGTGCTGGGGCACAATGTAAACTATATTTTTTTGCTCCGGTTTTAAAAATGTTTGAAAGCTATACTAAATGGTCAATTCCTGAGGTCAGAGACCATTTCTGTTTCATTCACCATGTACATCCAACTAGCAGTGCCTAGTACGTAGGAAGCACTCAATACATAGTAAGTAGAAATAAGAGGAGTATGTAAATGAATGCACTGTAAAGACAGGTAATGGTCAACAGTGATGTTACTCTTTGAAGAAGTTTGGCAACGAAGAGATGGAGAGAAAAAGAATCTTGAGCAGGAGAATTTTAGGAAAGGGAAGAATAAGTATGTTCATTTACTATGGTTAAGAATGCAGTAAATGTGGAAATAAAGAAAAATACAAGGTAAGGAAGATCTGTGTTGATGGTGCAAGGACAAAGCACAGGCAGGAGAGGACAAAATCTAAGGTAAAACTAGAGGAAGCCAGGCTCGGTGGCTCAGCTTGTAATCCTGCGCCTTTGGGAGGCTGAGGTGAGTGGATTGCCTGAGTCCGCGGGTTCGAGACCCGCCTGGGCAGGCGAGACCTCATCTCTACAATAAATCAAAAAATTAGCCGGGTGTGGTAGCGCACGCCTGTAATTCCGGCTACTCGGAAGGCTGAGGCGGAAGGATCGCCGGAGCCCAGCAGGTCGAGGCTGCGGTGGCCGGGAGCGGCCACTGCACTCCAGTCTGAGTGACAGAGTGAGACTCCAGCTCCAATAAATAAATAAATAAATAAATAAAACTAGAGGGATTAGCTGTAAGGAAAGAGATTTCTTTCTGTGAGACTGAATGAAAAGAAAAATGCTGAAGCAGAGAACAGGGGGTTTGCTAAAGAGGCTCATTTCATAAGGTCTCAGCTCTCAACAAATTATGAATCAAGGTTTGTGACAAGGTAACAGTCGAATTCTGAACTTGAGAAGAATGGAAACATTAAGGAGTAAGTCGCTGGGAGTGGTGGCTCACGCCTGTAATCCCAGCACTTTGAGAGGTGGAGGCGAGAAGATTGCCTGAGCTCAGGGGTTCAAGACCAGGCTGAGCAACATGGTGAGACCTTGTCTCTACAATCAATCAAAAAATTAGCCACGCATGTGTATTCCTGTGACTCCAAGCTTGGAAGGCTGGAGGAAGAAGGATCGCCTGAGCCCAGCAGGTCAAGGCTGTGGTGGTCGTGAGTGTGCCACTGCACTCCAGCCTGGGCGACTGAAAGAATGAGACTCTGACTCAAAAAAGAAAAGAAAAGAAAAAGAAGGTGGCTCAGCCTGTAATCCCGCGCCTTTGGGAGGCTGAGGTGAGTGGATTGCCCGAGCCCACGGGTTCGAGACCCGCCTGGGCAGCGAGACCTCATCTCTACAATAAATAAAAAAATCAGCCGGGCGTGGTAGCGCGTGCCTGTAATTCCAGCTACTTGGAAGGCTGAGGCGGAAGGATCGCCGGAGCCCAGCAGGTCAAGGCTGCGGTGGCCGGGAGCGGCCACTACACTCCAGTCTGGGCGACAGAGTGAGACTCCAACTCAAAAAAAAAAAAAAAAAAAGAAAAGAAAAAGGAATATGTCTCCTCAAGAAGAGAGGAAGTTACCCAGGCTCAGTGGCTCAGCCTGTAATCCTCGCACTTTGGGAGGCTGAGGCGAGTGGAATGCCTAAAACCGCAGGTTCGAGACCAGCTCAGGCAACTTGGTGAGAACTTGACTCTACAATAAATCAAAAATTAGTCAGGCGTGATACATGCCTGTAGTTCTGGCTACTTGGAAGGCTGAGGTGGAAGGATCACCGGAGCCCAGCAGGTCGACACAGGGGTGACTGTGAGCATGCCACTGCACTCCAGCCTGGGTGACGGAGTGAGACTCCAACTCAAAACAAAAAAGAGAGGAAGTCAGCCAGAGATGAATTGAATCTGACACCAACAGAAAGAAGATACATTAACTTATATGCCATATATAAGTTATATAAACTTATATATCCTAATTATATGATTTTTCTTCCATTGCCTTCTGGAAAGATAAGTAGAAATCAAATGTTATATTTAAATTTAAAAAGTGGCTATGGTAGGTCAAGGGAGAGAAGCAAATGAAAATACTGGTAAGAAAGCCCAGCATACTTAGAGTATAATTCAGGCTAGGGTAGAAGGGAAATGAAGCATCGTGAGATTAGGGAAGGGTTAAAGGCTTAGAAAAGTGCAATGGGCTTGATTTAGTGGGAGAGAATTTTACAGTTCAAGCTATAAGAGGCTGCAAGAACTCTAGGTTATATTCCTTAGAGGTATGAAAAACAAAGAACTAACTCTGGAGTCTGAGTGTCCAATATGGTATACATCCCCAAGACAGTAAAAGAAGGAGCTGAAACATAAATGTGTGCTAGGTATTAAAATCAATGAGGAAAGAAACAGAATAGCCTAGAGGTCAGAAGACAATATGAACAGGGATAGGTGATAAACAATTTCAGATGAGGAGAAGTTACTGAAAATAACTAGTTTCTTTTTTTTGAGTTGGAGTCTCACTCTGTCACTCAGGCTGGAGGGCACTGGCATGCTCATGGCCACCGCAGCCTTGACCTGCTGGGCTCTGGTGATCCTTCCACCTCAGCCCTCCAAGTAGCTAGAACTACAGGCATGCGTCACAACACCTGGATAATTTTTTTGATTTATTGTAGAGATGAGGTCTTGCCAAGTTGCCCAGGCTGGTCTCAAACCCGTGGGCTCAGGCAAATCCTCTCACCTCAGCCTCCCGAAGTGCTGGGATTATAGGCTTGAGCCACTGCGCCCAGCCAGGAGAAGCTTTACTATGAGTCACCAATACAATTCCACGAGGTTCTCCTTCTTTTACCGTTTTTCATCCTGAGAGCTTGGCTGTGATCCAGAGAGAGATTCTTTCTGACTTTTTGGCTACCTAGGGGGACACAGATTTTCAGGTCTGCATTTGAAGGGAGTCAACTGTCAGAGTGGGAACCTGATATACGAAATGCACAGGCATCACTTTTGACTAACTCTCGCCACCTCTCATGGGATTGTCTAAGTCTAAATCCTCTTTTCCAGGAAAAACTTCTGTCTCTTATATGCACCTCGGCCTCCCAAAGTGCTGGGATTATAGGCGTGAGCCACCACGCGCAGCTTTTTTTTTTTTTAAGAGACATACAATATGCATGTATATGAAATTTTATTTTCTAATTAAAACTGTCAGTATTAAGAAATTTACTTGGGCTCACATGATCTCCTTAATTTTTTCACACAGAATATTCCATTTACTGTGTAGCTTGTGGTCTTGTGGACATGTTCTAAGTAGTGTATTTGTTACCATAGAAGTTTCAGTTGGGCAAAACTTACTGCCAGTAAGACCTGAATTTAATTTGTCACATATTTCCACTGGCAACCAGTGATCAGGTGCTTCAATATTACAGATTTCAATTCTTCCATTCTTAATGTTTATGAACACCTTAATTTCCAAGTGTGACTGTTCATATAAGACAGTAAAGGAAGTATTTACACTAAACTTTGGAGTTCTGCCATATATCCACTCCCAAGTTTGTAGTTCTTTGGTTTTTCGACTAATTCCAGGAAACAGTGTCTCATCTTCTGGGTTTATTAGGTTAATGTGATGATCAATTTGATGATAAGCAGCATACTCTGCAGCAACAGCATTCACCAACACTTCACATGTCAGAGTGGGATCTTTTTCCAAAAGATTTTTTACTACGGAAGGTATGCTAGCAGTGGCATTGCTCTTGATCCCTTGGTAAGGGCTCTTTAGTGAAGAAGACAAGAAGGTCCCATCGGTACTACATAATAAAGTGCAATGGTGATAAGCAGTAGTCCGGCCGATCTTAGAAGCTGTCCCTGAGATTTTAAACTGTCCATCAAGTAAAAGGTCAAATCTTTTGGTAGCCTGCACATCCAGCTGGGGTTGGACAGCATTTAGAGCTCTCACAATTAACTTCAGATTTTCCATCCTATCATACTTATTTTTGGTTGTAAAGAAAGTCAAATTGATATTACCCATATCATGGTAGACTGTTCCTCCTCCACTTCTTCTCCGAGACAGTTTTATACCTTCTTGTCTCATTAGATTCAGGTTACATTCCTGCCAAGGATTTTGATGTCTACCAATTACAACAGAGGGAGAATTTCTCCAAAAGAAAAGAACTGATTTGCTTTCTAGATTCATATGGTCATGGATCCAGTCTTCTACAGCCAGATTTTGATAAACATCATTGGAAACTGACTGTAGAATGAGTCCACTTTTTACTGTATTTTTAAAGCCAGCTGCTGGGACCTTGTGGTTACAAAGTAACTGGAAGCAGTTCTTCATTGAAAATGGGATCAGCATGCTTTTAAAAAAGGAAGACAAACAGATTAATACATTAAAAAAAGAAACATTAAATTCTACTTTCCAGCTATCAACTCTTGGTTATTTAATCCAAACTTAACTAATTCCAGTTGAGTATCCAGTTGCTTTTCTTGCTGTTTACCTTTATGTTTATTCTCCAGCAACTCTACAACAGAGGAACGTAATGCAAATATAAATAATGTGTAAAGTGTCCAGACGGAATGAATTTGTTCATAGCCTTCCTATAAAAACCTGCATTATTCAAAGGAAATAAATGAAGACAAATTTCAAATAATTTCAGTTGAAATGTAATAGAGCACAGATTTTTCAAACAATTAGTCTGCAGCAAATACATTATGTAATATCTCAAAGCCAAATTACTTTGAATTCTCAAGTAATACATGTTCATTCAGAAAATGAGAAAACACAATAAGCAAAAAGAAGAAAATAAAAGTATCCATAATTCTACTACCTGGAGATAATCATAATTAACATTTTGGTTTAAACCCACTTTATTTCTGTACATGTATATATACACATACTTCCCCATGCAAAGGTGTAACCATACTGTTATTTCATTCAAATTAAGTCTATTTTTATAACAGTTTTAATGACTGTGTAATATTCTGTTGTGAAATATACCAGCTTACTCAGTAAGTCTTGTAGTCTATAATTTTAGGTTTCTAGTTTTTCTCTTACCAATGAGGTACTCATGAATATCTCTGTGGAAAGCTTTAATTATGTGTTTACAATACTTTGTAAATAATTCCTATTTGAATTTGGAATATATGATTTACTGGCACCATAACTTTTATTTAGACCAATACTAACTAAGGATGAACCCAAGGTTAGAGGAAAGGCAATCAAGAATATGCAGGGTTTTATAGGAAAGCGATGAACAAATTCATTCCGTCTGGACTCTTTTTTTTTTTTTTTTTTGAGTTGGAGTCTCACTGTCACCCAGACTGGAGTGCAGTGGTCGCTCCCGGCCATCGCAGCCTCGACCTGCTGGGCTCCGGCAATCCTTCTGCCTCAGCCTTCCGAGTAGCTGGAACTACAGGGTGCACGCTACCACGCCCGGCTAATTTTTTTGATTTATTGTAGAGATGAGGTCTCGCCTGCCCAGGCAGGTCTCAACCGTCTGGACTCTTTAAACATTACTCATGTTTGCATTGCTAGTGAAGTATTAGCTGGCAAAAAGTTGAAGATACTAACTGAATGACTACTTATGGTCTTAAACCATTCTATTCCAATTCTATTTCTTAGCATGTTTATAATTTTCCTTTAGGTTGAAGAACTGGGAATATAATGGGTTATTAACATCCATAACTAGGCCAAAATATTTACTTAGTAATGTCCTAGAAGTACAATTTCTAGGTTAAAGAACCTTCATGATTTCATCACTTGTTATATTTTATAAACTATGCTACAGAAAAGTTGAACCAGTTTATACTCCCTCTGTTGAGAAAGGTCTGGAAGGCTTAATAGAAGAAGGGATGTTTGAACTGAGGCTCCAAATCTGATAGCTTACCAGGTCGATGGGAATAGCATATCCTAGGCATCTAGGCAAAGGCAGAGTCATCTAATACTGAGGCATGTTTGGGGGGCTCTCTCCTAAGGGGAAGACTTCCAGTTTTCTAGCTCCAGTGAAGCCTATGGCTACACTGCGTCTGGAAGCTTCCACACTCAGATTGCTTTTCTTTTGTTAATCTCTTTATTCTTGGTCCTATTTGTCTGACTTTGATGTCATCCCACATTCATTCAACAAATATTTATGGAATGCCTACTAGTCACAAGGTAGTAAGGGGCAGAGGAGAGCAGGAGACAAGTTCATGTAATCCTAAAATATATGGGTTTTTTTTAAAGGTTGCTGGAATCCACTGAAGCAGGAAAGTTTAGTCAGTCATTGTACAAACTGCCTCTGCAGTGTTGAGCACAGATTAAAGAAAGGATAGACTAGGAGAAGACAGAACAGTTACAGAGTAATGTTGTTGTCCAAGCTAGAGATGAGGCTCTCAAGTAGGGTAGCAGAAAGAGAAGGAGATGGATAACAGCAATATTAAGAAGGTAGACTGGGCTGGGAATGGTGGCTCATGCCTGTAACCCCAGCATTTTGGGAGGCTAAGGCAGGAGGATTGCTTGAGCCCAGGAGTTCAAGACCAGCTTGGGTAACAGCAAAATCTTGTCTCTATAAAGGATCAAAAAAATTAGCTGGGTGTGGTGGTATGTACCTATAATCTGAGCTACTTGGGAGGCTGAGGTGAAAGAATCACTTGAGCCCAGGACATTGAGACTGCAGTAAGCTGTGCTTGTGCCACTGCACTCCAATTTGGGTGACAGAGACCGACCCTGGGTCAAAAAAAAAAAAAAAGGTAGACTGGTCCTTGACTTCAAGGAACTTTTAGTATCTCCACAGTCTAGCAATCTAATGGGAGATGCCAAAAAAAGCAAATAAGGCAATAATTAAAATATAGTATCATAGTGCTGTGACAGGTATATTAGAGAGCCAGCTAACCCTCTAGTGGAAGTAACATTAAAGCTGAGACATAAAAGGGGTAAGGAAAAGTATTTTATTCCAACAATGCAACTGCTTGGTGGAAAAGGAGACAGGATCTATGCAAATAATTTAATTCCACTGGCTGGTACTTAAACGTGCAAGAATGGGGAGTAAGAGATCAGAAGGCAAGAGAAGTAGAGGTCAGATGATGAAAAACCTAAAAATCCGTGTTAAATGCTTGAAGTTTATTCTGAGAGCTTTGGGGAAGGTGCTGAAAAGTTTTAACAAAGTAGAAGACGGGATTTAAACTTTAGAGACATCACCTCGAGATTTAAGGATGGAGAATGTACAATTTGGTAACTGGCTGACAGAGGGTAAGAGAAAGAAGTCAAGGATTATGTCCTTTATGGTTTAATGATTATAAACTCAAACCAGACTGCTAGCATTCAAATCCCAATTCTGTCCTTCACCAGGTGGTAAATGAGGCCATGGGAGGGGACTAGATTATCCAGAGACGATTCAATAAGGACCTAGGACACAACCCAGAAGAGCAGCAACATTTAAGGGATATGCAGAAGAAGGAGGGAACACTAAAAGGAAGCTGAAAATAGAAGGAAGAAAAATTGTAAATATGGTATTATGGAAGCTTCAAGGAGACAAAATGGTTGCTGATGACTGAACAAATAAGGTTTAAAGAGGACCTATTGGAGTTAACAGCATTAAAAAGCTTATTAGTGATCTTGGTAAGAACCAGATGTGTTGAGTAATTGGGAGACCAATAGTAGAGACAATGAATGTATTCCAGTTGTGAAGTGGAAAAGCTAGGGCAGTAGTTAGTAGGGAATGTAGAATTATGGGAGGATTTAAGATTCAAGAGATGTGAGCATGCTGGTAGGAGTGTCAGGAGAGGGCAAGATTGATGAAAGGAGGTCCCTAAGAAAGTGGTAGTGTTGGGATCTGGAATTCAGATAGGGATGAAGCCTTCGACAGCAAAAGGGATCCTCTTCCATTGTAGTCCAAGGGAGAAACAGTAACAAATAGGCATGGTAGATGTGGAGATTCTTAGGCCTTATGAAACACCTTTCCCTAAGGTTAAGGCTCTTGCTCTTATTTGCATATGCAGAGTGTGGCAGTATAGCAGTGTAGTTGAGAACTTATATTTTAATCCTAACTCTGCCACTTACTAAGTGAATAAACCTCTAGCTACTTCAATTGCCTCAGACCTCACAGAATAGCTGAGAGAATTAAATGTGTTAATATGCATACACCATTCATGTCTGGCGAATATGTGTTGTAATGTTATGATAAGGCTCATCTCTTTCCATCTGTATTCTTCTGTGCATACTGTTCCTATCATATAACATGTATTCCCTCAAGTGTACAAGGATTCCTAACCAAGACACACCAAAGTGGTATTTATTTTGATAAAGTAACTATAATCCAAGATAATTGATTTTGGACAAAATACAATCTTGTTGGGGGTCCAGAATTGATCTAGTTCATGTCTTGATCCAATGCATGTATTGTAGCAGTGCTCAAAATATCTCTAATCATCCAAGCATTGTGTATACAGTGTGAATGGAAACAACAAAGGTATTAATGCAACAAATTTTTCATCAATTACATGACGGGCATTGTTCTTGGCACTAGGGAGTCATCAGTGAGCCAAATAAACAGGTGATAAGGAGGGGCTATTTAAAAAAAAAAGTAGAGCTGTGAAAGGAAGGGATGGAAATGTGTTATGTGAGAAGGATTATAATAGGTCACTATTTTAAACAGAGTTGTTAGGCTAGGCCTCATTAAAAAGATGTCATGTGGGCAAAGATTGAGTAGTTAGGTGGAGTACCTACCATGTACCAGTAACTGTTCTAAGCATTTGAACACGTACACCAATAAATAGGCCTCAGTGAGGATGTAACATTTTAAATGCACCCTGAAGGAGTGAGAAAAAGTGAAAACAGCTGGGTTCGATGGTTCATGTCTGTAATCCCAACACTTTGGAAGGCGGAAGCAAGAGGGGTGCCTGAGCCCAGGGGTTTGAGACCAACCTAGAAAACTTGGCGAGACCTCATCTCTACAATAAATCAAAAAATTAGCCCAATGTGATGTCGTGTGCCTGTGATTCCAGCCACTTGGAAGGTTGAAGTGGAAGGATCACCTAAGCCTAGCAAGTTGAGGCTGCAGTGACCGAGAGTGTGCCTCTGCACTCCAGCATGTGTGACAGAGACTCTGACTCAAGGGAAAAAAAAAGAAGTGAAAGAATGCCCAAAAATACCTGAAAGCCAGCTCTCTGATTTACAAAGAAAACAATAGGCCATCAGCCTGTTCAATTACTGACAAGCCAAATTATTATAAGTTTGCTTGGTGAATACATAATCAGAAAAAAAGGATTGAGTTATATGATGTGATGGGCCATGAGGAAAACACCTCAGAAGAGATCTTACTTTTAAGCCAGGACACCCTCTCTTTCCTGGAGGAGGCTTGGATTCACTGGGTACAGGTGTGCCTCTCTTTTTTTTCATGCTCCAGTACCAGATCAGACCCCAACTGAATGGTACACAGTATTTCAGGACATTTCACAGCTGTCAGGATTCTCTCAAGCCTTTGAAAGGCTGGCTAAATTTTGTTCCTTCAAAATCACTTTGCCTATCTCTACTCTCACCTTTAATTGCTAATCTTATGGTTTTTCCGAAGACTAAGAATGTCTACCATGCACTTGGACACTTTCTACCTTTGCCCTGGCAAACATGCTTCTCCATCACTGAACAGAAAGCAAAACAGAACAGGACACCCTCTCTTTCCAGGAGCGTCCAGCTTCTTCATAAAAAGTTTTAAGACTCTATTGTTTTGCCCACTTTCTGACAATCCATCTCACCCAGAATGTCATTTTGGTCGTGTGCATGTTTAACCTGTCTTTTTGGCTCTCAGTAGGTATGCACACAGCTGGCATCAACACGTTTACATTTACTCTACCTCCTGTGGTGGGGTCGAACCTTTCCTAACAGTGAAATTAGGTCGGCTCAAGTGCCGAGGGTAAACTACATTGCCTTCAACACCGGCCCTCACGGACCTTGAGTTCCAGCCCGACGCCCGACAAACCCCGAGCGTGCTCCGGGGCCCCTCGCCGCTCACCCGCCCCAGCGCGCGGCGCCTGGGTTAACACCGCTTCCGCCTCACCCACCTGCGGCTTCCGGTGGTGCCCGCGGACTCCTGCGGGCTCGCGCAGGGGAAAGATGCATCTGACTCCCAGAACCCGGCAGGCATTGCGCGAGGCCCGGCCCCGCCCCCAAAGGGCCGGCCACCGGAAGCGCCGGGAGGAGGCGG